AGGAAGGAAGGAAGGAAGGAAGGAAGGAAGGAAGGAAGGAAGGAAGGAAGGAAAAATGGAGGGGGAGAGGGAGGGAAAGAAGGAAGGAGAAAGAAAGACACGAGAGGGATGGATGGAAGGGAGGAGAGAGAAGGAAGGCTTAGCTGTGCTGTGGATCACCCCCTCCCCCAAACTAATCCATCCATTCTGCTCTCCGTCACCAATCCTTTTCCCAATATAATGGGAATGTCTTTGCGACTTATCAGGTTGCCTCTGGATCCCTTCCCTCTGGGAATTTCGGCCTCCTCTGAACCACCGGGCAAGGCTCTGCCTGGCGAACCATTTCAACCAGGAGCAATCGTGTTTTGTTGGACTCTCTGAACATCATGCCCATATGGCACCAGCGGGTGTGGCATGAGAGCAGATTCTGCCCAAGTGTCATGCCAAGCTGAGAGCGGCCCTGTTCACACAACATGCTTAACCTGTTAACCAAGATAAGCATTTTTCCCCTGGGCTTCCATGGAGGGGTGGTAGCCAAAAAGCCAAGATGGCAGGCACAATCAGCAAATACATAAAAGGCCTTCAAGGGCACCGTGGTGGCCAGCATCGTGACTTTTCTGCCACCCCCTCTAGAGGCTCCTAATTGCGGGAGGGGAGCGGCACAATCAATTGAACAATAAACCAGCCCACCCATCCAGAGAGCAAATGGATTTGCCCTTCCCACCCCAGCACCCAAATCTCCCTCCAGTCAACTGTGCCTCCTCTCCTCCTCTCGGCCCCGCTGGATCTCCCGGGGTCCCACCCCATATTCCTTTGGCTCCGAGCACTGTCTTCCCCAGAGCCAAGCAGGAGGAGTGCCCCGTGCCCAGCTGCCCACGTCCTCACCGCAGAGGGTAGGCGAGCGCCACTGGAGCGTCAAGCCAGCATGGCGGCACTGGCTGGCATAGGCCTCCAAGAGCTCGCAGAGGCACTCGTCCCCGCTGGCGGCCCCACAGGCGCAGAGGTCGTAGACGCAGGAGGCGAAGAAGGGCTCCGGGGGCACGGCGGCATGGCAGCGGTCGAAGGGGGGCAACTTCAGCACCTTGCATCGGGCGTTGGCCTCTTTGCGGGAGCGGTACCCGGATTCCTTGCAGGGATCGGCGTCCAGCCCGTCGGCGCAGCGGCCAGACCCCGTAGCGTTGGCCCCGACCACCTGGGACAAAGCAACACACGCTCTGCAAAAGGCCCTCCCTCTGCGGGTTGTGCGAAGGGAGACGCTGCCTGGCAAGGGATGGACGCCCGGAGGACAAGGGCCGCTCGAGGTGAACGGTGGGGCTTAGCGTGGTTTGTGAATCGGGGTGGGTTGCCAGAAAGAGGAAAACGCAGAAGCGTTTCCGCTTTGTCTCCCGCTATTAATCTTGAGCTGGAACCAACATAATGAGTCTCTCAGGGCACAGTCAGTCTTGAAACTCATCATTGTCTAGATCGGCGTTTCTCAACCTCGGGAACTTTAAGAC